AATAAGATGGGACAAAGCTACAATTCTCTAAGAAGTAACAGAGATAGGTGATGGTGGTGGTGGGAGAGATTGGTCATTGAATCTCTGTGTCCATAGAATCTACACTCAACACGTGCAATAAAAATGATGCAACGCCAATATCAGGGAGGGATATAGAAAATTTTATTACTAACAAAAATCAAAGGATGAGAAAAAAAGAATGGAGTTATGTAGACATAGTTTGAAAGTTGTGTGAACAGTACCTGGATATGATTATAAGCAGCAATAATTTGTGCTCGATATATGAATCATCAGTAAATAAATAAGGCTCTATCACTACTGAGTGCTCTTTATCAAGTAATCGTATTCAACGATGGAAATAAGTTGTCTGAAATAGCTATCCCGAAAAATTTATCAAGAAACACACGACAAAGAAAGCGGAAAAGGACTAATCACTATCCGTAAACAAGAAGCCACTTTATATATGACTGCAACTCAAGAGCGATATACGAAGTGAGATAATTACGAGGAAATTGAGAAAATCAGTTCAAAGAACTTTTAATGCTGGCGAACTACACGTATTATTCTCTACACGACCGATGGTGATTCCTCGACTGGAAGATGAAGTACCTAGACTAGCCACTTGAAATTGTATCTACCAATTCAACTGCGCTTGTGGTGGAGCGAGTTATATTGACCGTTGCTCTAGGAACTTGATTTTTCGTACCAGCTCGAGAACATCTCCCACTATGGCTAAGTAAAGGTGTAGTGAAAACCATCAACAGTTCGATATTGGACCATCTGGTGCAAACTGGCCACAAAGCCAGCCAGCGTGGAAGAATCCTTCTCTATAATCTACCAGGCGCCTAACAAATTGCCAAAATCATCGAAGCACCACATGCTCCAAACAGCAGAGGCTATTGCAATTCGCCTCAAACAACCAGTGCTCTGTGTTCAAAAGAAGCAAGTGCAGCCAGCTCCTACTACTGCCCTGGCCGGCCTTCAGTGGAGACTATGAATTCATGAATTTGTAATATTATCTTTCCTAATTTTTCTGACATTCAGCTTATTTTATGTTGATGCTATTGAGCTTATTGATTCGATGTTATTTAAACAGCATTAATGTTGTTCATAACACTAATTCATTCATTCACTACTAATATGTATATATAACTGTAGAGCCCGATGAAGAAGGGGTTATCGAAAAGAGTACTCTTTGTTCAGTATCCATTCTTTTGAAAATTTCTGATGGGCATTCTTAATCAGTTAAAATGATTGAAGTATCGAGTAAATCAGTTTTTTTTACTCTACTTCAGAAAATAATAATGATGATGTAAACATCAGTAGTAGCCAAATGTTGTTTTTTTTCTTTCTGCTTGCTTGTCACTCACCCCCCATTATTCACAGTAGATAGAAACAATATACACATATATGTGCGTTTTACACTTAGACAGTTGTTTTCTCTACAACTCGAAAAAAGCAAAGATTGAATCAATTGAATCAAGCACTTACTGATTAATAATAATTCATTAATTAATGAAATGACAAGACACACATTCATTACTTCACCTGCTACTTTTTCTCAAAAGAATTTTCAATGCTTGACAAGGCGATGTCAGTCAGCCAATCAATCAATACATACTTTACTGGCATGATAACTGCATGAAACTGATTGGTTGGATTGATTAGCAGGAAGGTGATTGGCTGAAAGTCAGCTGTATGTCACGTGATAGCTTTTATTTTTTACAGTTATGATGGTAGCATTCAAATATCAAATAGTAGAATACGTCATTCCGCCAACACATATATTATCCTACCATCATAAAAAATTGATCTGAAAAACTGAGTAGAACTTGTAAGCTTCGTATAGAAAAAGCATCTTTTTGATATATGTTGGTTCGATATAGAGTAAAAACGTGTAACTGAAATCTGTCTATCATGTTCTTTCTTATTAATTCTAGTAGATTGGCGAGGGGTGTGGTATTACTCAGTGTTATTTAAAATGAAAATCTCTAATTCTCATATTGAAATAATGGAGAATATTTGCTAAATCAACTGAGATGGTTAGGACATGTGTTACACGCCTGCCAACCCATTACTTGCCTCGACGAGTAATGTTGACTGAGATAGGATTACCTTAGAAAAGAATTAAAGTTGGTCAATTCTACGGTGACCTGCTTAAACCACTGGGTTAACTTAATTTTCATCAAGCATAATTTATTATTATTGTTTCCTTTAATCCCTAGAGGAACATGGGGTTTCAGCCGTGCGTCCGATTCTCTGCTAGAGTCTTCACCTGGCTCCAAGTCTGCCCACATGCCTTCATCTCCCCTTCACATGACCTCCTCCAAGTCACCCTTACACTGACGACCAACTCGCTTCCCGTTCGAGTTCCACTCGAGGGCTTGTCTAGTGATATCACTTGATGGTTTCCTCAGAGTATGGCCAATCCATCTCCATTTCTTCCTGCCTATTTGTTTCACAATCAGTTCCTGGTTGGTTCGCTCATTGCCAGAGATCTCTGTTGCTGATCTTTTCTGGCCGGCCATCTGATCTTGAGCGAAGACACCTGTTGATGAAGGTCTGTAGTTTGTTTGAGGTGCTCTTTATGACGCGCAGTGCAAGTCTCTGATCCGTATAATAGCACTGATTTCACATTGGAGTTGAAAATCCGGTTCTTATTTTCATTTCCATGCTGAGTGCTGTTGACCTCCACACAGACTTGAGAGTATAATGCATCCATCTAATTTTTTCCGTTTCCTTCTTGTTGTTTTAGCCTTCCAATTATGTTGTGCTGGATCACAATATGAACTCACGCCAATTTTTAAGTGACTTTCAACCTATCATCACTGTACACTTCAAAAAGAAAATGAAGGGAAAATTTCGTAAAAGACTGATTCTTATTTCAGAGAGAATGACGTTGCATCATACGACATACTGGAGATGAATATTTCCATTAGAAGATTCTATCGGGGAAAGTGAATATTTTGCAAGTAATCATGCTGAAAATACTGGATTGTGTTTAAACATAATTTTCAGAATAAAACTGATATAATTATTATTTTCAAGTATTGGTTTTGTAGGGATTTTGTTTGATTGCATGGAGGATTTCATCATGAGCTGGCATCAGTCAGAGAACCACTGGAAAACCTGGTAGTACTGGACAGCTGTTTCGTCAGACTAGTTTGGGACTCCGCTTCAGCAGTATGCACCCACCACAGGGGTTCGAACCCAGGACCTTCTGGTTACAAGGCCAGCGAGCTCGTAGGCCATTAAGCCACTGGGACCCAATCAAGTTGCCAGTGCGTGAATTCTATCTTCTGCCAATTCACGACATAGCGCGACCATTTCGCAATATCTCCTTCGATGAGTTACTGCCTCATCTTCAACGTGCTGTACCCTACTGGTCACGGCTTCCCACTAGAGGCACAATTCACTGCCTGAATTGGGCCAGTCGCTAGTTGGCATCAGATTAATTTCCAAGTATTGGTTTTGTAGGGATTTTGTTTGATTGCATGGAGGATTTCATCATGAGCTGACATCTAGCGACTGGCCCAATTCAGGCAGTGAATTGTGCCTCTAGTGGGAAGCCGTGACCAGTAGGGTACAGCACGTTGAAGATGAGGCAGTAACTCATCGAAGGAGATATTGCGAAATGGTCGCGCTATGTCGTGAATTGGCAGAAGATAGAATTCACGCACTGGCAACTTGATTGGGTCCCAGTGGCTTAATGGCCTACGAGCTCGCTGGCCTTGTAACCAGAAGGTCCTGGGTTCGAACCCCTGTGGTGGGTGCATACTGCTGAAGCGGAGTCCCAAACTAGTCTGACGAAACAGCTGTCCAGTACTCCCAGGTTTTCCAGTGGTTCTCTAACTGATGTCAGCTCATGATGAAATCCTCCATGCAATGATTATTATTATTATCAAAAGATAAAATCTCCCCGTGAAGTCTTTTACTGTTGGTTTGAGTCAAATGGGTAGAGACTGTCTAGTTGGGGTCCTCGAGATGCTAAGAATCAATGGCTGGAAACTGTTGATGATGTGGCTTGAAACTGATCTCATTGGTAAAGATGCATTCACTCCTCATGATCTCCTAGATCATTAAAAGTCTCTTTATTTTCCATATGGTTATTATTATTTCCCCCTTACCTTTCTGCTTAGCGCATTTTCTTTAATTTTTTCTCTATCTCTGTATGATATATAGAGTGTAGCGATTTAAACTGTTGTAGAAAGTTCTACGTTGAAAACTTATTGAGTCAGGAGAAAATATGTAGGTCAGGTATTTGTTCTTGGTATACTGAATTTTCTAAGCTGAACGATTTAATTGACAAACTTCCACTGAAAAGTCAACGCTGAAGATGTTCTGTCCAGAGGGAGAATGATAGATGCACAGTTAACCCAATCAACGATCATAGAACTCAACAACTATATGAACGACAGCGATTTTTGTGTTCTTCAAATAAATTTTGTCAGTCCTACTAACACTTAAATATGTTGTAATTACTGTCTAGTTGACAAGTTGCAAATTTTTAAAGCTTTCAAGTGTTGGTCCTTGTTTGAGACTCCTTAGCAATACGCATCCATAAGCCCACCAGGGGTCGAACGCAGGACACTTCAAGGTTACAAGGCGAGCTCGTTGATCATTCAACCATGAATTCTAACTTCGACCAATTCGCGATCCTCATCCAATGGCCATCACAGAGTACTCGTCCTCACTTCCAGCTTGGTGGACCCCTGTGGTCACAACTTCCTCTCCACTAGAACTTCAGAAAACCTCATCCTGCAGTCAGTTACTCACTAGTGAGCATAAGATTGATTTCGAGTTTTATCCCGAACTGAGACATCAGTTAGAGAATCAATGAAAACCAGCAGGGAACACTGCAGCTTCTCCGTCCAGCTTTGACAGACTTAAGCAATACGCAATTATGACCCCATAGCCAGGAATCTACAAGAATAAACTTTTACAACTAAATACTCAATGAGACTTATTACTAACTCTACATGTTCAGAAAACCTTGCCAACTGACAAACGGTTACCCAGTGAACAACAACATACCACCTTTGGTTGTTATTATTTTTCTTCTCAGTAGATTTATCTACAGTTTATTTGGTTTTACAGAAACAGACAAACAAACAAATAAACAAGACAAAAAAAAACAAAGAGAGACAACAAACAAACGAACTAACGAAGGAGGGGTGGAAAATAAAATAAACAAACGAATAACAGAAAGACTAAAACAAATTTAAAATAGTAATAATGATAATAATATCTTAAATTGAAAGTACAACTGGCATGGCGCTTCATAGAAATAGAGTCCTAAGGCGGCGATGAAAACAAATTCAATGTTCAATGGATAGGAACAAAAAACAAAATGTATGTATGTATGCATGAATGTATGTCAGTAAGATGATGAGTAGGGCTCAAAATAAAACAGGACCAAGAAATGAAAAATGAAATAAAATATAACGAAGTGACTTCTTTTTCTAGAAATGGACAAGGGGGACAAAAATAAAAGAAAATATATGTGTAAATATGTATTATTATTATATTATTCTACTTATAATAATAACTATTATTATCTGTAGTGAGTAATCTCCATTTCATACATATATATGTATATGTATATATGTGAGTAAAGATCATATAGGGATGACTAACAAAGATATGTGTGACAAACGAGTGAATAAAATTTAAAAAAAAACCCAAAAAAGTAAAACAAACATAAAAGAAACATAAATAATGCGAAAATCTGATCTGGAAAGGAGAACAACAATAAGAAGATAAGGGTTACACACAATATATAAAGAAAGGCTGAATGAAAGTTTTGAACTATGGCTGAACTGTTGAAAAATACTCAAGTGATGACTGATGTATGGTGTGTGGTGTATATATATGTATAATACGGAAGTGCATGAGATTATTCAAAAGAAAACGGGGTACTTAGTATCTATAGGATAAAGAAAATGTGCAAAATACAACAATATTTAATTTGGTTTATCTAGTAAGATAGATAGATTACAATATAAGCATATATATATATATATATAAATGTATTCTTTAAAATAACAGGGACAAAATAAAAGCACACAGTACAGTACATGTCTATGTATATATATATATGTATTTATATGATACGAATATAATCTGAAAATAAGACATCTAGATTTTAGTTGTGTTGCATATTTTCGTTTTGTATTGCATTACTGCTTATTATTATAAGTTTTTAAAGATGGCGCACTCGTTTAAGAGGAGTAGATAAAAAGTCAACCGGTGAATGACTACTAGTAGTAGTAGTAATAGTAGTAGCCGTAGTACTTGATTCATCAGGTTTATCATCAAACGATGATAAGACATCAAGACAAGGATTATTTGATTGACCACCGAATTGGATTTGTGTAAATGAATCTAAAAGAACAGAGGGGAAAGAAAAGGGAAAGTAGGGGTTATAATAATAATAATTATTATTATAGTATATGTGTAAAACTTGGGCACTGTGGTAGTAAGTAATTCCATATTAGTTTGTTTCTTAGATACATAACACAGTAAATCAAACAGTATTATTTACTAGATGACGTTTCGAACAAAATTTATTGTTCATAATCATATCATATGAGTAGCAGTTCCATACAAGGAAAGAACCTCGGAAACCTTACGCAGAATTCTTAACAAGGTAGGAATAAAAGTGGCTGGCATTGAAACCCACAAACTATATTAGAAACAAGCTTTGTAGGTTAAGGGATCCTGTAGAGCCTTTAAAACAAAACAATTTAGTTTATCTAATACCCTGCTTGAATGATTGTCAGGTCAAATACATAGGTCAAACTGGTAGAACAGGGTCAGTGAGTCAGACTAGCTGAACATAAAAACCTAGCAAAATCTAGGTTGGTTGACCCGAATAAGATAAGAAATCCAGAGAATAGTTCAGCTATAGCACTCACTAAATGCAGTTACGCACAACCATACAATAGGATGAGTAAGGATGACAGTTTTAAAACCTAATGTCACAGGGTGGAAGGAGAGATTGATAACAGAAGCTTTGTTTATCGAATCAACTGCAAATACATGTTATGGGAATGATTCATCACCTGTCCCAGATATCTGGAAAATTCTACTACCCCAACGACGACAAATAGGAGAAGACAAAGAAAACTATAAAACTCAAGTTTCGAAGTTGTGTGATTATAATTGATGCGATGATTATGAACAATAAATTTTGTTCGAAACGTCATCCAGTAAATAATAGTGTTTCACTGTGTGGTACATCTAATAAACAAACTAATATGGCATAATTATAGTAATAATAATCTATTTCAATGATTTCAATAGATTATTAATGAAAGATAAATTAATCTGATGCTCGCTAGTGACTTGCTACAGGATGGAGTTTCCTGGAGTCAGTTCTAGTGAGAAGTCGTGACCAGTGAGGTCCAACCAGATGTCACGTGTGAGGATGGATGTGTCCCACCGACGACATTGGTTGGGGTCGCGCTAAATCACGAATTGGTAGAAGTTAGAATTCATGGGCTGGCCATTGAACCAGGTCCCAGTGGCTGAATGGTATACAAGCCAGCTTGCCTTGTAACCGGAAGGTAATGGATTCGAACCGCGGTGTAAGGTGCGTACTGCCGATGATTCCCAAACTAAGAAGAAACAGCTGGCTCTCCAGTACTCCCTGGTGCCTTTCAATGGTTCTCTAACTGATATCAATCCGTGATCAACTCGTGAAAGATAAAGTGCTAAATAAAAAGAAGAGAAGTCAATCGATGCAGTTGTGAAGCTGAGAGATGTGTTGTGCTTGCCAAGCCACCATCTTACACACACACACACCCGCTCCAAAGAACGAGGTTAGTTGACACGGAGTTGGGTTGGAAAAGCGTTATGCATGATCAGTTTCAAACTTGGCATGAATCTATGAAATGTAGGATAGTTGGTTTTACCCGCATAAGTAGGGAGACATAGACTGCTTGGTTGGGGGTGGGGTCTTCACGATGCTAAGAATGAATAGCTAGAGACTACTGGTGATATGGCTTAAAACAGTTGTGAATAATAGTGCAGATGCATTCACTCTTCGTAATCCCCCCCCCACATTCCCATTAAATTCTCATGTTTTCTCTTATGTAATTATTCTTTCTGCTTTACATTTCCGTTTATTTGATTGGACACTAGTAGCTAGTGTGATGTGTCTAGTCCTTTTTTGGTGCAGACTGAATTCTATCAGTCAGGTTTGCAATGCGACCACCATTCTAGGTAGCTCGCCATCACGGTGCACATTGATTTGATGAAATTAGATAGTTGGAGGCAATCGGCAGGAGGCCTTGGACCTTGCTGACGAGTGCCAACTAGCACGAAACCTAAGTCCAAAGCTTCCTGCCAATTGCCTCCAACTATCTAACATCATTTCCGTTTATTATTATAGTTCTTTGGAATATCTTTTCTCTATTTTTGTGTGCAACAGGAAGTATGGTCACTTGAACTGATACACTTCTGCGCAAAGTTCTATGTTGAAGTCATGAGCTGACATTAGTTAGAGAACCATTGGAAAACCTGGGAGTACTGCACAGCTGCTTCGTCCTGGTTGGGGACTCTTCAGCAGTCCCAAAATAAAATATAAAAATATCAGATATGCATGCAAAGGATGTCGAATTTACTATGAACTGTTGTACAAGCGATTGTAATCAGATATTTTCAATCAAATTTATGCCTACAGAAAGAGAATATGATCAATCTTACACACTACTTTGGTAACTGTATTTAGTTTTTTGATTGCTTCAATTGTATAATCATCCATATTACTGATTTCACCCGAATGAGATAACTTCAGCCTTGTGAAATATGATTTTCTTGGACTGTTTCGTAACCTTATAAGCAATGTAAATGCCTGTTAATTCTATACTCCCTCCTTTCCCGCTTCCCCTTCGAAATGCATATAAATTGATGATGACTTAAGCTATTATGAATCGTAGCGTTTATATTTTGGATGCGTTAATTTATAACATTTTTTCTCTCCAATCACTTCGATATTTAAAGTGTGTTAACTAAATTTAAGCCATCGAAATTTGAGGTGGTCTGCATCCCATGAGAATCTGTCACGTGAAATGATATTACTTTACACTTCAAATATGGTCTTTCTTGTTTTAATCAAAATCATCAAGGCTAGTCTATTTTAAGCTATTGTGAGAAGTCACCCGGCAGAGATGGTTTTTAATCTATCATATATATATATATATATATAGTCAGGGATTAACTTGCTACCAGGGAATAATCTCGTTGACTTAGAATATGCAGACGATATAGTACTTCTAGGCGAGGACGCTGACAAACTGCAGAGTCTTCTGAACACCTTAAGCTGCAATCTACGAATGTTTGACATGCGATTAGCTCCCGCCAAATGTAAGATGATGTTATAGGACTGGACTGCACTGACTCCTAGCTTAGAAATAAGGAGTGAAGTGGTAGAGCACGTTGACCACTTCACTTACTTGGGAAGTACTATCAGCCCCAACGGGTTGATCACTGACGAAATCTCAGCACGGATACAGAAACCCAGTTTCGCATATACTACTTTACGCCGTCTCTGGCATAGACGTGATATCCGACTATCGACCAAAGGGCGTGTGTACTGCTCATCAGTCCGCTCCGTCCTCCTTTATGGCTGTGAGACCTGGCCATTGAGAGTGGAAGACATGAGAAGACCGGCTATCTATCTTTGATCATAGGTGCCTGCGTTCTATCTCCCGTGTGAAGTGGTATAATAAGGTGAGCAATATTGAGGTTAGGCGTCAAGTGCTAGGTAAGGAGGGGAAATCAATCGACGAGGCTGTGAAATTACATCGACTGAGATGGTTAGGACATGTGTTACGTATGCCTAGTCATCGCCTTCCTCGACAACGGGCAATGTTAGCTGATATAGGGTCAGGCTGGAAAAGAGCTAGCCGCGGTCAAACCAAAACATGGCACCAGTCAATGAAATCTACAACAGTTAGTTTAAGCCAACCACGTAGGAAAGTTAAAACCCATGGTTGGAAACAATTGGTGACATGGCTCAAAATCGTTCTCAATGACAGCCCAGATGCATCCACTCCTTGTGACTTATGATTTCCGATGAAACTGTTCGTTCTTCGTTATTACTATTCCTTTGTCTCACACCTCTGTTTACTGTCTCTAATATGCATTTCTCCTACTTTCTTCTCTTGCTTTGTGTGCTACAAGGAGGGAGTGTGGCGACTTGAACTGCCGCACATACGTGCAAAGTTCTACGTCGAAAACAGACAGACATGCGTTGAATATTGATGATCTCCGTAGTAGTAGCAGGAAAGATAAAGATTATAATAATGCACACACAAACACACATTTAGAAAATAGATATGTCTCAAGAAATGACACGAAAAAAAATAGTTTCAAAAAAGATGAAAATGAGAACAGTAAATACACACAGGTCGATGAAAAAACGTGAGGTGAGAAATAATAAACTAAAATTCTCTACAAATTACTTATTAGTAAACTAGACACTGTGGAAGTGAGATTCAATGGCTTAGACACTCGACTATCACTCACTCAGTAAGTAGTGGGTCGAGGGTTGGAATCTCGCTTCACTTACTTGAGCCTGGACACCTAAGTTTGGATTATAGCATAAAAAACCTATTCTAGGTATATAAATTCTACTTTAAGTAAAGACTATTGGAATTCGAAGACCAAAAACACTGTAAATAAAATAATTTAATTAATTAGTGATTTTTTAGAAGAAGAAAAACAAGACAGGACTCCAGGTATATATATAGAGAAGACGGAGGTGATGAAGACAACTGACCAATCAACAACACCAAAACAACAACAAAAACTATAAAAAACAAAACAATTGAGCAGTAAAGAATATCCTTTTCGATAATTTCCTCTTCTGGCTCTACAATTCTATATAAATGTTTATATACATAGAACAACAACAACCAGTATCAATCACTATCAACAGGAGAAATATGAAAGTGTGTACTTCCTCCACTTATCTGCAAAGCATCATTTCAATAGCAACAACAATAGGTGGAACAGATGAAGATGTCAAGGCCAGGCAGATTTAAAAAGGCAAGACAAAACTTTGTCACTTTGAAATCAGTTTGGAAAATATTCTGCATCCAGCACAAAGACCAAGAACCGGATTTTTAGCACCAGTATCAAGTCGGTCCGTCTATACGGGTTAGAAACTTGCTCTTTGTGTCACGAAAAGCATTTACAACAACAGCCTGTTGAAGACTTTTATAAATAGCTGCTCCCTTCGCCCGCTCCATATTGACGATCAGATGGCCAAAAAGAATCAGTAACAATAAACTCTGGGAACAAACGAACCAAGAGCCGATTGCTCAACATATATGTGGGGGAAAGTGGAGATGGATGGATCGGGCATATATTGAGGA